CCCCAAAACCCCAAAACCCCAAAACCCCACAATGCAATTAGTTTAATTTAGAACAGATTTAATAAGAATATTAATAATTTAATGGATAACTATCAAAATTATTATTTGAAGGTATTGCCTTTAAGTAAATTATTGATTATACTTAGCTTAGTATCTTTGAGTCATTAATTTCAACCCTACTTTACAAATGACTGCTTTGAATGCAAAAGCAATAGCGGTTCTTATTTTTGCAACTTTAATAATAGATTTGGAGTCTGTTGTCCTGAGGAAAGTACCCATCAATTATGCCAGCCAGTAGAAGAGGAAAATAGAATATGCTCCAATGAAATGCCAACAGATTTTTTCCATGGTCATTGCATAAATGCAACAGCTGAAAAATGTGGACTTTAATAATCACTAAAAGTAAATATTGAGGATATACCAGGGTCTATTTAAACCAGCAATATCTCAGTCTCTCAAAAATCTGCTTGTGCTTATCAATTTTATCATAGAACAAATGGCTTTCTTAGATTTGGTGGTCAGGAACTAGATTTAGAAATTGACAAACTAGAAAATTTAGAGATTATTGTAGCATCAGGCAGTGATGCATCAACACTTACATAATTGTACAATACTTCAGATATAGTTGTTGATGATTGGATTAAATTTAAAGTGACTGAATGGATCTATGTGGCAGTTTACCCAAAAGCAAACTCAATTAAAAATTCGTTTCATTTGAATTATAAGAAAGAGGATGTACTTCCAGTGAGAAGAAAATATAGTGAACAACTCATTGCCAATGATATGCAATTAGGTATCACTTTAGGCGGTCTTGCTTTATTCTTGATCATACTGTTCTTAATTTACTTGAAAAAAAGAAACGATAAGAGAAAGAAGTAAAATATAGGTTCAAATTCAGGGAGTCTTAATAACAGCAGACTAGAGGGAGGGCATTCAATTAAAGCTAAGGATAATGAGAGATAATACTCAAAAGTATTAGACAAGAGCAAAGATTATGATGAAAATGCACTTTCATTCAGATGATTTCATGAATATAAACAAATAAATAAGTGAAAAATATCAGTTATTTTAACTTTTAATTTTTAAGTTCTAATAGAAATTATTTCCCTGATTTGTATATAAAAAAATAATTATTAAAAATGGAAGGAGTTTAAAGTATCGCGGAAAAAAGAAATAGCTTTATGAAGCGTAATTTAATCTGATGTAGTAAGTTTCTTTGATAGCGAAATTGGAAAATCAACTGAGAAAAAGTGAATAGTATGCAGTATCTCTGAGGAAGCAGAAAAAGGATGACAAAATAAGATCTAAAAGATAGTCTAGGCATTTTAGTTAAAACTTGGATCAATAATTACTGCAAAAGGTAAGTCAATACTTTTTTTTATATTAAGTCATCAAATAATAAACATAATTTAGCTAAATTTCAATTAAGAGCCAGAGGAGGTGCTATTTCAATAAGCTATTGATAGCCTCAGATAGGCTATGAATAATATTAAGCAATAGTTGAGGTTCACTAATGATTGCTAATAATCAGAGGTAGAAAATATTTTCGGCATTCTTATAAATAATGGGTCAAAGCTAGATGATATAATATTAGAATTACTAAATCTTGAGATAATAGAGGTATCTTAAGAACTGCTCAGACTCTATCCACTCCTATCAGCATAAATCATAGTTCAGCTATCAGTTGGATCTGATAAAAATGTATCAGTATATATCACTGAGAAGTCTACATTGTTTCAGCCCAGCAAAGCAAAGCAGAGTTTACTTGACATTATTTTCAACTATGCTCAAGAGCAAACTGATGATATTATTATGAAAGAGCAGTTCTATACTTTAATTGGAAATATTGGAAATGATGGAGTTTACCCCAGGGATTAAGTCTTTAAACTTGAGGGACTTTTCGATATGATGCTAATCGATCTGACAAATGAAAGGCTGATTGATTTTATATTGTGGAGTCTGTATAATCTTGTTTCAGCTGATCTAGTTGATAAGACCATTGTACATAACTTAACTTTTAATTCCAAATATAGCTTAAGAATTTATCGAAAGTTGTTATTCAAGTGCAGAGGAAGTACGATATTCTTCACTAATGGCAAAGCTTGTAGATGTTTGTTATTTATCTGATTGGAAATGTATGCAGAGGATCTAAAAACTTATGCTCCAAAATGCTTTAAGAATATAGATTTTTCTTGCTTGAAATGCTTCAACGGTATAACTTTTATGGTGAGGAAATGAAGCAATACATTTTATTGAGTTGGATAAAAATAACATACAATCTACCTGGCGATTAACTTAGTAATTTAGTCAAGGAATCAAATATCGTTGACTAGTTAAGTATGATGGTATTAAGAAGCTTGTAATAGAATTAACATGAATATTGCAAAGATGCTCTAGAGATAACTCTTAATATTTTTACAGTAGGACCAGATCATATTAACTATCTTTTAGCACAGCATAGCTAAATCCTCACAACTCTTGCCAATATGAATGCTTATTAAATTCCACTTCTTTAATCTTTGATAATAACTATTTTGAGAAATATTTTTTAGCTTGCGAAATTTGAAGATATAAACAAATTAGAAATCTAGCATAGCTAGCTATAAAATCGAGGTTTAATTCACGAGGTTACAGATATGATCAATTATGGAGTAGTAAATCATATAAAGTCAACAGTAAGATCAGGTTTAAAGTTTCTCAAGTCAATTATGAAAAGAGAAGATATACTTTAATATGTCAAGTTGAGTCCTTAATACGGAGAGCCTTGGAGGCAAGAAATCATTAGGTTAATGAATATCATCATTATAGAATATGTAGCCAATAGAAAACTCTACTCTATGGCTATTGATATATTAGAAAAGGATTTTAATGATAATTAGGAATCAATCGATTTGGGTGATGATGATGAAGAGTAATACTCTGAGTATAAAATCTAAAAAATTATGATTTGACTAAAAAATGAATTTTTTTTAATTGATAATTTTGATTTAAGACACATTTTAGATTTAGAAGTTAATATACTACCTGGGGTTTTGGGGTTTTGGGGTTTTGGGGTTTTGGGG